TCGTAAGGTAATTCCAGACTATATCAAGACCACTTTCGGCTATTTTTTTGGCATTACATTTTGTCCGTTTCGAGTAGCATTTTCATTTTTGCACTTAAATCAAAACGTCGTTTGCTTTCTCTTGCTTTAGTGAACGTCCCTTTGAGCGGGCCGCCATTTTAGAAATAAGCAACCTTTACGACGGACTCGAAACGGCGACGTCATAATACGGTCACGACACTATAGCGGCGCCGAGAGCGATGCGTATAAACAATAGTGTGATTTCCCTTTAATACAGCACAAACAACATTTTCCAAAAGACCAAAAAAGTGAAAAAGTATATTTTAACAAAACGCATTTGACTAACAGGTCGAACAACAAATGTTCTCAAACCGTGCTGACTGCCATTGGCGATTGCCAAATAAACGGATCACCGATGTAATAAATGGATCTTAATTATAAATTTAATACTAAACAGAAAACAATAAACTTGCGGAAAAGATGGTATACCGCAAACAAAAGGTGCAAAGGTTTTTGTACACCATATCCGGATTTCGACAATTAATGTCTCTTCAGTGATGTTAGGAATCGAAACGGTATTTGGAAAGCCATACAATTAACCTCAATTTAGGATAGACTCTTGAATTTTGAGGAGTCAAAAAAGGATGAACGGATCATATAAACCCGAAGGCAAATATAATACAAGCCTAAACGAAAAAATATAAACAAGTCTAAATTGAAAACAAGGTTCAAACCTATGATTGCGTTGGATAAAAACCGCAATTTTTATACGTGTGCATGCATAACAAATTTCTTGTTAGAGAGGTCTAAATACAGCACAAACAACATTTTCCAAAAGACCAAAAGAGTGAAAAAGTGTATTTTAGTAAAACGCATTTGACTAACAGGTCGAACAACAAATTTTCTTAAACCCTGCTGACTGCCATTGGCGATTGCCAAATAAACGGATCACAGATGTAATCAATGGATCTTAATTAAGTTTTTAATAATAAACAGAAAACAATTAACTTGCAGAAACGATGATATACCGCAAACAAAAGGTGCAAAGGTTTTTGTACACCATATCCGAATTTCGACAATTAATGTCTCTTCAGTGATGTTAGGAATCGAAACGGTATTTGGAAAGCCATACAATTTACCTACATTTGGGATAGACTCTTGAATTTTGAGGAGTCAAAATAGGATGAACGGATCATATAAACCCGAAGGCAAATATAATACAAGCCCAAACGAAAAAATATAAATAAGTCTGAATTGAAAACAACGTTCAAACCTATGATTGCGTTGGATAAAAACCGCAATTTTTATACGTGTGCATGCAAAACAAATTCTTGTTAGAGGGGTCTTAATACAGCACAAACAACATTTTCCAAAAGACCAAAAGAGTAAAAAGTATATTTTAACAAAACGCATTTGACTAACAGGTCGAACAACAAATGTTCTTAAACCCTGCTGACTGCCATTGGCGATTGCCAAATAAACGGATCACAGATGTAATCAATGGATCCTAATTAAATTTTTAATACTAAACAGAAAACAATTAACTTGCGGAAACGATGATATACCGCAAACAAAAGGTGCAAAGGTTTTTTGTACACCATATCCGGATTTCGACAATTAATGTCTCTTCAGTGATGTTAGGAATCGAAACGGTATTTGGAAAGCCATACAATTAACCTCAATTTAGGATAGACTCTTGAATTTTGAGGAGTCAAAAAAGGATGAACGGATCATATAAACCCGAAGGCAAATATAATACAAGCCTAAACGAAAAAATATAAACAAGTCTAAATTGAAAACAAGGTTCAAACCTATGATTGCGTTGGATAAAAACCGCAATTTTTATACGTGTGCATGCATAACAAATTTCTTGTTAGAGAGGTCTAAATACAGCACAAACAACATTTTCCAAAAGACCAAAAGAGTGAAAAAGTGTATTTTAGTAAAACGCATTTGACTAACAGGTCGAACAACAAATTTTCTTAAACCCTGCTGACTGCCATTGGCGATTGCCAAATAAACGGATCACAGATGTAATCAATGGATCTTAATTAAGTTTTTAATAATAAACAGAAAACAATTAACTTGCAGAAACGATGATATACCGCAAACAAAAGGTGCAAAGGTTTTTGTACACCATATCCGGATTTCGACAATTAATGTCTCTTCAGTGATGTTAGGAATCGAAACGGTATTTGGAAAGCCATACAATTTACCTACATTTGGGATAGACTCTTGAATTTTGAGGAGTCAAAATAGGATGAACGGATCATATAAACCCGAAGGCAAATATAATACAAGCCCAAACGAAAAAATATAAAAAAGGCTGAATTGAAAACAACGTTCAAACCTATGATTGCGTTGGATAAAAACCGCAATTTTTATACGTGTGCATGCAAAACAAATTCTTGTTAGAGGGGTCTTAATACAGCACAAACAACATTTTCCAAAAGACCAAAAGAGTAAAAAGTATATTTTAACAAAACGCATTTGACTAACAGGTCGAACAACAAATGTTCTTAAACCCTGCTGACTGCCATTGGCGATTGCCAAATAAACGGATCACAGATGTAATCAATGGATCCTAATTAAATTTTTAATACTAAACAGAAAACAATTAACTTGCGGAAACGATGATATACCGCAAACAAAAGGTGCAAAGGTTTTTTGTACACCATATCCGGATTTCGACAATTAATGTCTCTTCAGTGATGTTAGGAATCGAAACGGTATTTGGAAAGCCATACAGTTTACCTCAATTTGGGATAGACTCTTGAATTTTGAGGAGTCAAAATAGGATGAACGTCTATATAAACCCGAAGGCAAATATAATACAAGCCCAAACGAAAAAATATAAACAAGTCTAAATTGAAAACAACGTTCAAACCATATATATATATATATATTATCAATTTATTTGGCAATCGCCAATGGCAGTCAGCAGGGTTTAAGAACATCCGTTGTTCGACCTGATAGTCCAATGCCTTTTGTTAAAATATACTTTTTTTACTTTTTTGGTCTTTTGGAAAATGTTGTTTGTGCTGTATTTAGACCCCTCTAACAAGAAATTTGTTTTACATGCACACGTATAAAAATTGCGATTTTTTCCAACGCAATCATAGGTTTGAACGTTGTTTTCAATTTAGACTTGTTTATGTTTTTTCCGTTTGGGCTTGTATTATATTTGCCTTCGGGTTTATATGATCCGTTCATCCTATTTCGACTCTAAAATTCAAGAGTCTATCCTGAATTTAGATAAATTATATGGTCTTCCAAATACCGTTTCAATCCCTAACATCACTGACGAGACATTAATTGTCAAAATCCAGCTATGGTGTACAAATTTTTGCACCTCATCTTTGTGGTATACCATCTTTTCAAGAAGTTTATTGTTTTCTGTTTGGTATTAAATTAATATTAAGATTTTAGTTTAAACTACAATGGTCATGTTCATTGACAGGCGGGAACATTGCATAATGTTAAACTCGATAAACCTAATGATGATTTTAACCAAGTTTGGTTCTAATTAGTGAGTAGTTTCGGAGAAGAATTTTAGGAGCTAACAGACGACAACATACGACAAAAGACAAGTAATAGACATAACTCACACTGTCATTGAAACTAGGAGAGATACAAAAGGGGGGATCGTAATTAAGGGCAAAAACTTCGACACATAGTAGAATAAAGAAATACGATTATGTAATAAACTTGTTTATAGATCTTATTTTCCTGATCTTGTTTGTTATTTTACCTCTATCTACACATGCTTCATATATATAATAGATAAAAAATAACCCTTTTGAAATTTCGTGCGAACGAAGATTTTTTTTTTAGGTTTTTTTTTCATCAGAGACGCTCGAACATAAAAAAATTGAAAGCCCGCGAGATTTTTTCCCGAACTCGCAAAAAGGATTTAAATGTTTTAATAGGCTTATAAATCCGATGAGATGACGATTTCAAAAATGTAGTTATTAAGGCTATAGCACAAAAACACATAATAAAAATAGTTTGTGAGGGGCAGTAACTCTTATCAGGAGTCGACTTTTTGACGATTTTGGTCAGATGACTTATTTGTAGATCTTATTTTGCTGATCACTTTGTCATCTCTACTGAGAATCTCTATCTTCTAAGGTTTTCGCAAAAATGCAATTGTTGTGAAATATCACAGACTATAAAGGTCATTTGACTTGTATAAAGATTTTTGGAGCTAATCATTTTGATTGTTGAAATTCCCTCTTTCTATCATAGTTTTCAAGGTTATGGACTTAAATGCAAAATAAATAAGATAGTTTTACTTTAGAACCATAATTCCTTTAAACGGTTGACTGCAACATTGAGTACATATACGTTAATTCATATGAGATCGTGTTTGCCATTGCAATTTTTCCTCTATGTATGATACAAAGCAGGGGACAAATGCATGACTAGTCATTCAACTTTTGCATTTCACCAATATGTTTTATTTCACAGCCATATCGGACAGGTTTTATGACTAGCGTATTTATAGGACTCATTTGTAAGCTAGATACTCTACGGATGATTGTGGCTTTTTTAGTTGCAATGGCCTAGCAGATTCAAGGACAAAATGTTCATAAATAAACGGACGATTGACGCCAATTGACGCTCACACTGGTCCTTTTAGGCCGGCCGAGCCAAAAATGTGTTGTTCATGTTTGTTATAACAATGAACACTTATTACTTAGTAGTGATACATATTTCCTCACTTCAAAACTGTCATTACGAATGTAGTAGGAGTAATCACGTCTCTAGGTTATATAGTTCAAAGGTTCAAACTTTAAGTTTCCTTGTACGTACACGTCTTATCCTGATTTATCGAATCAAAGTCTTGTAGTTTTAAAGTTCGATGCTTTTCCGCACAGTTGGTTTGCATTTTTACCCGTATGTGAAATAAGTGATTGATTTAAATAGAGGACTTACATGCCTCATAATTGTGCAAGGGAAGCAATAAAGGAAAATAAACGTGTTTAACACAATATTACCGTTTGTTATGGATGGTAGTAATATTTCCAACGAGTCTCTAGCTTCGTCTTGGAACAAATAATGTAGATCTAGCTGGCGATTTTTTTGAAGCAGCTGGCACCTGTTAACAAAAATTCAAAACAGTTTAATATTTGATTCGCAAATGTCGTTGAAAATACAATTTAAAGTAATACATTTAAACCGTTTAGTAGCCTATAAAAGGCCCCGCTATGATTAAATGTGACACAATTCAATAGAGAATGCCTTGTGAAAAATTATGAAAAAATATGGTAGACAGCAACCAAAAACAACCACCAAATTGCAGGTTCCTGGCTTGGGTCAGGCACATTCATAATGCTGTGGGCTAATAAAATTTGCTGGCGTTTTAATGTTTTACATCATGATTCTTTAGAATTTCCATATATTCATTATCTTTGATAATGATGAAATTAAATTAATCATTGTCGTTCTTTAACCGTAAAATAACATAAGAAACGAAGAATATATCCGCGAAAAATATACAATTTTTCAATTGTGTATATTTGCCTTTGGTTTTTGAGTGATTTTTTCTAAAACGGTAAACATTCCTTTGTTAGTCCATTAGCTGGGTTATTTTCTCGAACGACATTTATGATCATTGCGTCACTGAAAGGTTACCAAAGTCTACGAACCGATATAAATCGAAATTTGATCTAAAAGCTATCCTTGTATTTTATTCACATTATTGGAAATATTTTAAGTAAATACGATCAATTGCATTTTAAATCATGCGTTCTAATGACAAGTTTATATTAACATAATGAACCACAAATTATCACATGTGACTGTTAATCAGTGTTTAATTAAATATGATTGATTTCACAGATATGACTTGGAACTCAGTAACCGAAAATGACAGTAACTATTGATTTATGATGACATGTGAAAGGTGAAAACCATTCAGTGCATAACCAGTCGATATATACGTTTACAGGTAATTATAAAGTCGAATAAATACAAATCCTTCCTCTAAAGTTACCCATGACAAAAAAAAAGGGTTTTTTCACGAGACAAATGAAGTTTACAAAAAAAAAAGAAAAAAGGAGATTTGAAGAAATCAGTCGACAAGTACCTAAATATATTCCTTTCAGTTATTTTTGTTGTTGGGTGCTATCTGTTTGACTTTTATGCGACATCTCCTATGTTTATGTAGGTATTTGTGTCGAAAGTTTGATATCAGACCTAATTAAACATTCCATGATAGTTATTGTTATCCGTCGCATCGTAACTTCCAAGCAATTGGACAGTTGGATTTCGAACAAAACCACTTTTATGTTTCTGTATTTTTATTTTATTATTTTTATCATGTAAATATGGGTTTATATCTTTTGGTTATTTGTGTTGTTAGAATTATGTCTCATTGCCGTTTACCAAACATATTCTTAATTTACATGCAACAGCAATCAAAACCTTGGTTACATTAATTTTTATAAACTATTTAGTTATTTCTACTGTGAAACTTATTAACGATGTTAGCCGCTTTTTGATTTCACCCATAACATCAACGTAAATTTTGAGTGTCTAGTTGAGTGAAAGAAAATTATTTTAATAAAGGTTCGGGTCTCTCTTCCTACACTATCATATGACTGAAATAGATGGTTAGTTACTTTTAAATTTTAACTATTTGTTTAACAGATTTTTATGGAAAGAACTGCAGAACGTTTATTTACGTAAACCCACATTTCCCTTACAGACTTAACTCATATACATTTCATATTACTCTCAACGACAGTTTCGTTTAGGTAAAGCAACTGCTCATATTTAATATAACTAAAGCAAATGTAAAATTACTGATTGCAGTCAACGTGTCAAATTAGACATTTTTACGACGTTTCAATGTCATTATAAATACCAATTCAGCACCAAAATAACCATAGCTAAAAAGAAGACCAAGTTCTGGTCTGCGTCCGAATAAAATTCACATGCTCTTAATTCATAGAAATAAAGCAGTCACAATTTCCCTTAAAAGATTTTGTCAGGTATATTTGGTATTTTAAAAGTTTGTATTATGATTCAACAAACAATCGTTATTTATGGTTAAGAGCATTTTTGTAAATTAAAAAACAAATATTGAACTAGCTGTTTTTTAGAGAACCTCCAGGAGAATGCATCCAAGAGGTATTTTCAGAAGGACTGTAAACTCTATCAAACACATCATTAGTACTTTAATTATGATATACTAAACTGATAATACATAGATATTAGTATATAATCAGAAACAATATTTTTTCGTGATTGTTAATATTCTTTCTAGATTCAATATAAAAATAAGAGAATGTGGTATGACAAATCTCCACAAGAGATCAAATGACACAGAAATTAACAACTAAAGGCACCATACGGCTTTTGATAATGAGCAAAGCCCATACCGCATAGTCAGCTATAAAAGGACCCGAAATGACAAATGTAAAACAATTCAAACGAAAAAACTAACAGCCTGATTTATGTACAAAATAATGAACGAAAAACAAATATGGGACAGGCACATACAGAATGTGGCGGGGTTAAACATGTTAGCGGGCGCCCAACCCTCCCCCTAATCCTGTGACATATATGTACGCGAGTAAATTTCATCTATGTGAGTCTAGGTTATTATTGTACAGAGGAATGCGGGAATCTTTTCAATCAAATTGTTGCTTCAAATATTTGAATGCCAAGTACATGAATAATAAATTTCAACAACGATATGCTATTTTGTGTATACGTTGTTAATTTTTTATTTTTGGGATACTAATTTACGTATGTAGATTTCATGTGTAAAACGAATCGATGAACTTATATAATCCATGAAAAACACGTTGAAGTCATTTTAATAGTAGAAACTTATCAATCCACAAATTAAGGTACCCTTCAAAAGCAAATTTGTATCTTCAACAACGAAAATTGATACCAATGAAAGTAAATAAATCAACAGAACTGAATTAAAGTACTCACCGGGACAGTAACATTTGTTCTGCTCCCCAGATGTTTGCATCTTTAATTTTTGGTCCTAATTCTCTGCCCTATAAACAAAATGGATAACGGTACATTTTTATACAATAAAACATTAGGAAACAATTGTCTGTCATGTTGTTGTACAACCTTTCGAAAAAACAAAACCAAAAAAAAAAAACAGTAACAACAACAACAATAGCACGATATGTATGTGCAACTATTTTAGATTAATGGAAGTGGACGAAACTAAATAAAGATACGCGGAAATATCAGCCTCATTATGCTCAAAGTGAGATAAAAAATAACTTGAGTGCAAATGCATTTGCTCTTATAACTATTTTTAAACTGTGACAAATAGAGTGAAAATCAAAACAAAAAAAAACTGAATAATTATTATTCAGGGAAAGTAAATTGATTTTGCTCAAATTCTTTATCGATTCATATGATTATACCAATTGTGCTTTCTGAATTGCTTCACTGGTAGTCATCTTTTTAACAGCCGCTCTGATTGCTTCTTGGAAATATTTATGTCTTAACATTCTGAGCTGACGTCCTTTCCATCGATATTCTGTGTATTTCAATTCAAAATCAGTATGCATCTAAATATCAATTATATCAGTGAAACATATTTATTTTTAAATCAAGGGAAGACAATTTAATAAATACTTAGAAAAATAGAAAACAAGTTACATTTTATTCAGTGTAATCGAAATAAATAGTTCTAAACATAACACACATATTTATCCCATTGATGATTATTTGATTTGAAGTTACAAAAAATGTATTTAATTAATCAATGTCGAATCTTACCAAATGTCTTTGTTTCTCAAGCGATATTACATAATTAGTACCGATCAAGATCATGACAGAGTTATAGAACCACTATAATTATATATATCTTTAACAAGAGGGAAACTTTCTTATAGCACACGATATTTCTAAGTTGGTTAGACGAGAAACAGACTGCCGGTGCGGGATTTTCTCGCTGTGTTGAAGACCCATTGGTGGCCTTGGGCTATTTTCTGCTCTTTGGTCGGGTTGTTTTCTTTGACACATTCCCAATTTCCATTCTCAATTTTATGTCATATTCTTAAAATAAGAAGAGCCCACACGACGTTACATATACTTTTACTCGCGTTCAATAATCGGTTTACAAAAAGGTCTTTGATATCAACTGCAGCTTTCTCAGATAAAAAAAAATCTTGATATGGGTTTCCACCAAGCAAACACTGTATTTGTCCATGTTAGTAAACGACATAAACACACAATTACGAACTGTTTTACACTAGGGATGACAACGAGAACTCGAGTACTCGAATATTCACTCGGAAGGCCGAGTAATCGAATGCAAATTTCATACTCAGAAACTCGAAAAATTGTTTTTGACATTTGTCCTAATATTTCCAACATATAAAAATAAGAAAATGTGGTATAATTGCTTATGAGACAACTCTCCACAAGAGACTCAATGACACAGAAATTAACAATCATAGGTCACCGTACGGCCTTCAATAATGAGTAAAACCCAAACCGCATAGTCAGACATAAAAGGCCCCGATGTGACAAATGTAAAACAATTCAACGAGAAAACTAACGGTCTGATTTATGTAGAAAATAATGAACGAAAAACATTATGATATACAGCAACAAACGACAACCACTGAATTAAAGGCTCCTGACTTGGTAGAGGCACATACAGAATAGTTGTATATCGTTTAAAATTTACCCTTAATCGTATCATGTAAGTGACACTATTATCAGTACATGAAACCTAATACGACAATTGTTTATCGCCATCCTTCTTTTTGAATCTTCCAAAAACAGATATGCAGGAGTTGGAATTAAAAAACTATGCACAAGACAATTCAGATTCTGACAAGAATCCTATTCGATGATGGTGTGATAAAGCAACAAAACATATATCACTAATAGCTAGACGCATATTGGCAGTGTCTGTGATATCCGTTCCTTCCGACATTTTTTCATCTACTGGGCGAATTATTACTATGTCTTAACTATATCTTCACCTTTACCTTTTATGTTGTCTGTTGATCAATGTCGATTTAAAAAGTACATTTCGTGTTGTTTATGTTATAAAAACGTCCGACTTTAGACGTGTGTAGATACAGCATTTTGTATTGGTATGTAAACAAAACGTCGTAATCGACTCTATGGTGATGTTAAAGACCAACATATCTTTCTGAATAAGAACAGAGTTACACGAAAAACCAAAAGCAATAACAATGACACTTTACACTTTAACATTTATTACCGATATTTTTAAATTCTTTGAGTACTTCAAGCATTTGAACCGAGTACTTGAGTATTAATTCTAATAAAATTGCAACCCCCTCTTTATACAGAAAAACATGTCAAATTAGTAACATACATTATTAAAATTTTTATTGATTTTTTCAAATTTAAAAATTTAGGACACAAATTTACATTAATATTATTATACGAATTTTGAAGTTCAATCTGATGAAAAAAGGAATGGTAAAAATATAAAAACACATAATGTTCTAATAATTATCTAATAATTATCTGAAAAACTTAAAAGATACCAGATGCAATCAACGTCAAATACAAAAGAAATGGAGAAGACACGTGAAATCTGAGAAAACTTCTAGCATCATAACTGCAATTGCAACCTGAACTGGAACATGATGGGTGTTTGCTTTTATAACAGAATTGTTTTTCATGTCTGATCTTTCGTATACTTGCCCTCAAGTTTTCAAACCTTATATATTTATCTCTAATGCATCTTAAATTTGTCAACAAATCAGTGGTTGTTAAAACAAATCTATATTTTTGTACATAGTTAACATATGAATGGTTACATTCATCAATGTTGCACTATATTACGACTCTGGAAATTAATCTTTCGATCCTATATTCGAAATAAAAATTTGTAAATGCAAAAAAACAAAGATTTGTTTTTATCAAATAACAATTCCATTTGTCATCATCGTATACAAAGTCATATCAAGATAATTCTCAAAACAAAACAAAAACGACAACAAATCAGATTTAAAGAGTTTCAGAAGTGAATGTTTTAAAATCTACTCATGATATTGTTTGATATTGCTAAACAATTTATTTGTGAAGTTCCATTGATTTTATCAATATAACCAATGTCAAGTTATGGTGTCACGTTTGATGTTTACATTTTTGACATGATGACTTGGAAAATATCTGTGGAATTTTCTAGAAGTATATCTATAGCAACTTATGATGTTATCTGTTTCAATCATTGTATAAAGAAAGATACAGAAAAAAATACGTCATTTCCATTTGAAATATAATGCAGTGGTGACATTTTATTGTGGACAATATATATTATCATCCATGACAAATGTTTTAGTACTCGAGGAATAAACTATCTGTGGAACATCATACTGGTAAATAATGTTTTACTGTTGAATACATTACACACTTTGAGCTGTTGAATTGTCGTTTATCATTGGACATTAAGAAATTGTCCGAATCAAAATGAATTCACCGCAGTTTGTCAGTCTAAATTTGACTAAAAGACTAAAAATGACTGAGGAATTCATTCTCACACTTGATGTTCACATCTAAATGACCGACTTTGGCTATAAACTGTGATTCATAATATTACAGGAACAAATTTCCATTTAAAGAGAAAATAAGGAATGTCCCTTTGGTATCTTTCGCCTTTCTTTTTTTTTATTGGAGCAAGGGGACTTGCTCCAATTACATGAATAAGGTGGAAAAATATATTCTAAACTTGAGAACAAATGATTACAGTGTTTGAATTGTCCGAAAATTCGTTCCTGATAATACCTTTCACATTTGGATTGTATCCAGTGAAATATCCGGAAGACAACAGATTCAAACCAAGTATAAACTTTTAATTTACTTTACTTGGTGTCCTTGATGGCCAATGAAAAGACATTTACAATACCTTTGCAGTGAAGATAAAAGGTAAAATGTGAATAACAATTATGACATTTGAAGACACTTTATTTAACCTAGGATATTGATAATAACAGCCACCATAGCCTTGTTAATATGACAACTCTTCCAAATGCACGAATTGTAGCTGATGACTAATATTTAACGCATACACAGTCAAATATTTAATATCCAAAAGCGATATGTTCTAGTAAATGGAAAAGTAATAATAGCAAAATTACCGTTGAAACAGTTTAAAACATAAAATCAATCTCGAACCTCAAATTTTGATAATTGGAGGAAAAAGAACATTCAAATGTACCTGTTTCTAGTAGTAACAACAAAACAAATGGATCTGTTATAAAGAGATAAAAGTGTGTCTCAGTCTTTGATTTTTGTGGACGCTGTGCACCATATGAGGAGTTTTTTGTCGATAAAAGTGTATTTATGCAATGTTAAGAATAAGGTTTATTTCAATATAAAGATAAAAAAGATGTGGTATGATTGCCCATGAGACAACTTTCACCAGAGACCAAATGACGTAGAAGTTGGCAATTATACGTCATCGTACGGGCTTGAAAATGAGCAAAACATATACTGCATTCCAAGCTATAAAATAGCAAGATATGAAAAATGTAAAATTATTCGAACGAGAAAAATAACGGCCAGGTAATGCACAAAACAATTAACAAAATTAACGAAAATCAAATTGATAACAGCAACAAACGAGAACGAACCACTGAATAATAGAATGCTCGCTTATGTTCCCTTTTAATAATAATAATTCAATATTTTACTTTTACTTTTACTTTTGTATCATGATATGTTACAAAAAAAGATGAAGGCAATAAGCGTGTTAGTAAACGGATTTTAGTGACCAAAAATGTCAGTATAATGTTGATGTGAACAGTTAAACAATAACTACTGAACATTCTATGTTTTGTATACTGTTGTGTGTGTTTTTGTCTTTTTCGTTTTAAGCCATGGCGTAGCCCGTTTATTTTCAACTTATGAGTTTGAATGTCCCATTGATATCTGTCGTCTCTCTTTTGATGTTTATATCCGTTAACATATATTCCTATAGAGATCTTTAGAGATAAAATGACAATGGAAACATCAGAGGTTAACATAGGAAAAAAAGTATAACAAAATACCAAACTCCAAGGTAAATTTTAACGATACAGGCATTTTCCGAGGAAAATTGTGAGTAAAACATGTTTTATAGCTAGCTTAATCTTCCACTAGTATAACAGTTGTTCATAATTATGCTGTCTTGACAAAATTGGGTGAGCAACCAACATAAACATAATAGGTTCACGTAAACTGTGAAGACATACATTACAGATATACAACAGACCTGATTACAAAGTTCAAACAAACATACAAATAAATATAACAAAGACGCCAACAAAATAGGGAGTTGGAGTTGATAGTCAATTTGACAAAGACACCAACCAAAAAGTTTCTGTAGTTGATAGTAAAATTGAAAAAGAAGCCAACAATAAAAAATAGTAGTTAGTATTACATAAAGTATATAGTATACACTTTCTCGATTAAGTATAGATTAAGAAAAATATAAATATTTATCCATTAGGTCTTGGTACTTTCCGATGACTTTTTGTGAAAAGACGTGACGTTTTTTTACAAAACCAGGGCTGATTGATTTTTTTGCTCAAATACCAATGACATTTTACAAAGTCTGAGTAGCAGCTACAAGCCCTTGAATATGGTATGAGTTTAGAAATATATACACTATACGCGGGAGAAGTTGGCATTTTGTTGCTAAGGTGAGGGAAAATTAATCATTTCAAAATTGAAATCGTCTGGTTTTTTAAAGATTCTGGTATTGAGATGACCGGTGTAGTCAACTAACTTTTTTTCACGGATACTTTATTTCGCGTTTAACACTTTCAAGCCCAATTCGCAGCGATTTGATTTAGCGATTTTGAAATTTACTCGAGGTAGTTAATTAAGGAAAGATCCAAGTTTGACATATTCGCGACGATTTATTATCGTGTGATCGCGAAAATAAATCGCTCACAAAAATAAGTTTGTTTCCTGTATATGTCTAGAAAATAAAGCGAGAGAAGCTATGGTTTCTTTAATCTCTATATCAAGAGAATCAATTGATGGGAGCAGATAAAGAAAAAATGAACTGTTAATAATAGTGTAATCATTATACCTGTTTGTGAAATGAACAGCGGCTTATTTAATGTGATCACCTTGTGAATTTACTTTTGAAATAAAACATTTTCATAGAAAGAGTAATGCCATTGCTGATGCTCTTACCCGATTGTATTTATTGCATATTGCAGTTTTAAAAAGTTATCATTATATTATTTTTTTTAATAAAGGGTGTCTGATATACCTGTTATCTATAAAGGAAACTCAAATGTAATAAATGGCTATTTGATTGATACTACAATTTAGTGAATGTTAGCTGATTATAAAATGTATTAGACGTAAGACAACAAATCGAAATATGATTTTTGTTTATTGTTTTTCAAAACATTTATTAAAGCGAAATATTAAAATGATTTATCGTAATTACAATGTCGTCAAAATAAGCTACAATAAACATCATTGATGTGTTATTGGTTTGCAAGGGAATAATTCAACCTCGTTTGAATCCCTATTCATGATACCTTTACTTTAAACTTAGTGGAGATGGGTTGCGCATGTGTTTTGGTTTTTGTCATTTTTTTGTGGGTATCTCTCCGATTCAAGAGTTTCGATTTCAACTGTTGTATCTTCTATCTCGTTTTGAACTTCAAGCTCAGCAGATTTTATCAACACGTCCAATGTCACATAATGTTGTCAAGCTTGACTGATAATGTTACACCATTTAATAAAAAAAAACGAAAACAACAGCAGAATCTTTTAAAAGTACCTGCATTACATCTGAATTACATCATGATCCATATTTCTACACATATTGGAAAAAAAAACCTGATAAAAGGCAAAAAAAAAACCGCAAGGGGAATGACAAATCAGATCAATAAACAGATCAAATATAATATCCTCACCATAACATCTTTAATGCATCCTGAGATGGCATCCCCCAAAAGCTTTATTTCATGAGCTGAAATACAAAAAAAAGAAACAAAAATTGCAAAAACATCTTTTCTTCTAATGTAGAAATCATATTTTCAATCGGTACTCAAAACAAGATTCTTTTGCTGATACAACGCTTTATGATGGGCATAATAGATGCATGCAAGGTATGTTACTATTGAGAGATGGGAAGTTAACAACACGAAAACTGAAATCACGATGGTTGTCATGGATCCTATTTTGAAAACACCATCTGTATTAATTTCAAGATAAATATCCAGAAATTTAATAGTCTTTCTAGTTTTAGAGGTTAGTAGGGGTTCGCAATCGCTACTCATTGTAATATCGACTGTTTGTTGAATATCAATTAACAAAAGTCGACAAATATATTGTGGATCAGAAGGTCCAGCTATATAATATCAACGTCTTTGGTGTATTTACTATTTGAGTTAGCGTTGATCTTACAAAGTGAGATTTTTGAGAACTTTTTTTTAAAACAAAAAATCTGTACCTTAGTATTCCAACTTTTTGAAAGTACTGTTTAATAAGAACCTGTAGTCGATCTTTCAATTTATCATATTTGTTATTAACCACTACTTAAAGTCATATGAAACTTTAAATCTAAAAAAAAATGTTGAACATGTTTTATATACTTGAATGGCTAAGTTTTAATCTAAAAGAAGTGATAGTGAACTTTTTTTAAAAAGAAAATCCTTTATATATTATTAAAATATTCATAAATGTACTGATATTGAATTATTGACTTCCAAGACACTGATTTGCCGATATTTTTCCGTATGCAGTGACCTCAACTACGAGACCTCTAGTTATAACTTCGGCCACGGCAAGTGCGAGGGGAATACCGTGACGAAAGAACGTAAACACACGTGCTCTTGAGGGTAATTAGAAATAAGAGATTCTTAAAGAACAAATTTAATACAACAAATCATTTAATAACTGCTAAGGAATAGTTTAATTAAGAAATGGGAACACATGGAAAATATAAAAACAAATGTCATGGCTCTATCAATTAACTTATCAGTCACGCTTTCCATGTGCTCTGTTTTTATTGTTTATCAATGTCACGATCCGGTAAACTTCGGCAACACACTCGAAAGTTAATTAGCTTGCGATCAACAACCACTGAATGGAATATCATTTGTCGATAATACGCCATAGATGTGTAATAATATAAAAAAAAATACGTGCATGCAAGACTTAGTTTAGTATATATGCATGCATTGGTTCAATAGTTCCGATAACATTAGAATTTCAATCAAAACTGAAGGAAATAACTTGTGATACAGATGCATCTTTTTAGTATCCTTTTGACCTTTTGACCTCACATATTGGACTGTCTATGAACATTTTTTTATTGTTTTGTTTCATTAATGTTTCGTGTTTGATCAAAATTAATGTTCACATACCAATTCGAAATTTTAATAGCGAAATAAATATACTGTAACATTTAAAAAAAATACATAAAAGAAAACTGTATACTTTAAAGTTGATTTGATATATGTCTAACAAATTTTAAAGACTATAATACTTATCTATTCTATGCATACATTTTCCATTCATTTTTCCACAGTCTTGTTGTCCACATATCTCCTCTATTCCTAAAAACAAGAATTTCAAATGAATTTGATATAAGCCCAAATTGACTCCAATATGTCTAAAAAAACTGCGTTTCAGCCTGTTCAAATATAGAAATGAATATTATCTTTTCATGGGTCAATTGTGTTGTCAGGAAAGAAACGATAAGTACATTGCAATTGTTATGTTAATTGTTGTTTTCCCGAAAACAAGAACCATCAACCGAATATTTAAAACAAATAAAACCAAAGGGGAAAATCACAAAACATATTGGAAATCAAAACTATTAATTAAAAGAGTACACTTGCTATCAAGTACAAAATTATATCCAAATATATTGTTTTAAGTAATCAAAGTATTAATGCGGTTATATGCTCAGGCAATTTGATTAATCACATTTGACTTGCGATATGATTAATGACTGCTCGGGACGGTCCTAGGACGAATTTTAAGATAATATTAAAAGCGGACTTGGTCTCAGGACTTTATTTTACGAGATTTGAACAACGGTTAACTGCTGTCGCCTTGATTTATGACTGTTGAAAAAGTTAAATGAGACAGGTCCGCTACTGAAATTAACTTCGAAACCAGTCCTACACGAACGTTAACTTCAACCCAGAAAGCTCCAAATTATCCAGACCTGTTCAAAACTTAACTTTAAGTCTGTTCTGCTCCACATTTAGTTATTTCGTAATTGGGACCCCTTTAAGAAAAGGATTATTTTGTATAACAAAAAATCATAGCCCACACATTCAACTCTAGCCGTAGTTGTACTTTATCATGTTTATATTGAATATGCCAGTATCATGATTCAGTAAATTTGGTAACTCAGGATTTAGAGTTTAAAAGTATGGGTCACCATGCTGTTTTTCAAGCTTTGAATCTGGCAAAATTGCTCACTTTTACATATATTATTAGTGAAAAATAATTTGTTTGTGAATAAAAAGAAATCTATGGTATGGAATTCTGAAATGAGATATGAGAAGAAAGATTTTATAATATGCTTTAAGAAAATAGAAATAAAAATTGTGTCAACGAACTTGTTTTATTGCTATAAGAAAAAAAATGAAAATTTCTTGAACATCCCTTAAATGAATTTTTTTAAATAAAACTGCCAAAATAAGTTTCTTTTTTTATAATTAGAACTGATCTAGTCAGTAGTCTTGGCATGTCAAAATGGATTGTATTACTTTTTTTCTTCGTTATTATTGGTGAGCGATAAAATTAAAAAGGTAGAAAAGTTCAGACATTATATGCAGAAAATTATAGGACACCTCAGATAGCCGGGCACTATTAAACTTTACTTCGAACATTCCGTTCAAGATATGATCTATAAATCCGCTGTTAACAAAGTAAATTACGATGAAAAATACAGTACGGCATCAATTTTATCTAGGAGGGGCCCTTACAAAATGTGAAACTACGCAACTTAAAAAAGTTGATAGTATTCAAGCATATAAATTGATTTCTTCCAACCCATTGAAAGATCTTTTTATCTGTATTCGAAATAGAAGTTCACTTATTTTTATAAAATTTGCATGTAATATGTTATTATCGTTTATATAATGAAAAAGCCAGGTCTATTATGAAAATTGCTTATCAAGATGATCTGTCCGTAGCTCTGGAAAGAACTTATCTGTCCGCCTACTAGCATATGAATTTGTATTAAACGGTCATTTTGTTCTTAACATAATCTGAAAAGTCTGATCGATAGATTAGTCAGTCATCTTCACTCTTTCACATTTGCAAGCAATCTTTAGACTTATCCACTGCTTTAAATTGGTAATGGTCAGACAATTTGCTGGAAGTCAATCTAATACTGTTCAGCAACTACTGATTAGTCTGAACTTAGACTGAACATCTCTTAAAATGATTTCTAGCGTATTGTCTGAACAGTACTGATTTTACCGAAGTGAATAAGTCTGAAAATTGACTGAAAGACTGACTTAACATTCTATTGTTTTGTCTTTTAAGAGTTGTTCAGATCAAAATCACAATCTCAGATCACAATTGATTAACTAGGGGTGAGACTGGTCAAAGTCAGACCTGTTTACATGTCTGATCCGGTCTGGAGCAGACATGTCTTTAAGGCTGGTAAAAAGAAAACCTGTAAACAGGAGCTGCCTTGTTATAAAGACTGGATCAGTCCTTAAAAAGTAGAAATAGGTCTGACTTACTCCAGAGTATGTGTTTAGTATATTTGGAAAGCAGTCAAAACGTCTGTTCAAAATCAGGTGCAGCAATCTGTTAACAAAATTGAAGTACCACATTTATTCTTTTCTTTGATGTTTTATTCCCAAAAAGCCATTTGTACAGAAACCCCCGAGAAGCTTTCTTTGTTGAGTTTTATTTAGTATCTAGCAATGTTAAAGTTAGATATTTATTTGGAATTACAAATCTAATATGCAGATCACTGAATCTGTACACATACCAAAGATTGGTTTTCCATTATCTTGAAAAGAAATATTTACTATAAAATTCCATAAAGTATTTTTAACCCTAAACCAAATAGGGGTTGCACAATGACCTTATGTGATGACGAATCTGAGAAAGATTCATAAAATTATGATTAGTGGTTTAGGAGGAGTTGCGGTTACAATATGGGTACCCCATATAAAGCAATGGCAAAGTTCATGTTTAGGAAGAAACCCCAAAATTAATTTTTCGAGCATGGTTCAGACTTGGTCAAGCATGGTTCAGACTTGGTCGAGAATGATTCAGACTTGGTCGAGCATGGTTCAGACTTGGTCGAGAATGGTTAAGAGTATGTCGAGTGTGGTTCAGACTCGTATAAAATGGTTAAGTACTGGTCGAGTAAGATCGAGTATAAGTACAAGTTCAGACTGTTAAGTATGGTTCAGACTACAGTCGAGTAATATCAAGTAAATTTCAGACCAATTCAGACTGGTCGAGTAAAAAACAGAACAGTTGATAGAAAATGAAAAGATATGGAATAAATGTACATGGGACAAAATCGCACACAATACATAGAAAACATTGAAAATTATCAATGAACAGGGATTTTATTCCTGTTCTTCATCTTGACAGGTGATGTAGGGTCTTCAATAATGAACGAATCATTCATTCTCTACAACAAGGCCAAGACGGTTCCTATCGTCGACTTACAGATATAGGCCATTTCAAACTTTTACTGGTTTGTAGTGTTAGTGGTTAAGGAGGACGGAGTTGTGGATACAAAAGTGAAACATTGAACGAACGACCAAACGAACGGACCAAAAGGCGGACGGACTCTCCATCACTATATACATCCACTTTACCATGAAAGCGGGGGTACACATATTGATTTTATACTAGAAATTGGTCATTTCAGTAAAACTTTCACTGTTTTACGTCTAATTAATGCACAGGTACAATGCATAACAATGGACAAAACCTGTTCAACTACTTTTACAAGGCAAAAAGGAAGGTCGAATAATGCAGCCAGTAAACATTTTTTTATTCTGAGCCTGCAAATTGAAGATAATTTTATATATTTTACTTTTAATACATTGGCTAAACAAAAATAATTATTATGAGAGTCCCAGACACTTTATAAGTTGACAGTGTCCCACCAATTTCACGTGTTTTAAGTGGTAGTAAACTCGTAGTGGCACACAATGCATTGCAGTTCATTGAATCGATTGGTCAATTTTTCAAGCCCATGTTTACTTCTATGGGAAATTACTATGCAAATGTATTCTGACGTCAGAAAATGTAGTGGTCCCGACCTGGTACATGAATAGGAAAAATGAAAACACTGTCTAACTTACGCATGCAAATGTTGAAGTAATACTTAAAACGCTTCTCAGGCATTGACAGTAAGGTTTGCAAACGCAACATACATCTTTCATTACTTTCAAATTCTTTACATTTTTCATCAAACTCTTTATTATCATTGCGAAGATCCTGCAACTTTTTCTTATAGTCTAATAGTGTTGAAATGTATTCACTATACAACTACAACAAAGAGAGTTATAAAAAGAGCGTTTCGTTAAATAAGTTTTTATACATTTCTTGTTTAGGGTTAACATTAATATAGTTTTGTTTAAGGAGTACCTTATACATTGTTATACATGGTCTCTCTCTCTATATATATATATATATAGCTAGCAACAAAAAGTGTGCTTTGTTTAAGCCCGCTGCGTTTTTATGGACCTTTTCTAAGTCAGAAGCCTGTTGTTCAGTAAATACCGTTTGTTGGTGTAGTCCGTAGGTGTTTCTCGTTTCTCGTATTTTATATAGATTAGACTGTTGGTTCTCCGGTTTGAATTGTTTTACACTAGTCATTTTGGGGCTCTTTATAGCTTGCTGTTCGGTGTGAGCCAAGGCTCTGTGTTGAAGGTCGTACTTTGACCTTAAATTGTTAACCTTTTATGCATCGTGACTTAGATAGAGAGTTGTCTGATTGGCACTCATACCACATCTTCTTATTTATATTTGATACTACCTCTTTTTTAACTTTTATTTTGATGTTTCTTAATTGTTACTCCCTCCCCGTCGATGTTGATTTGCCACGTGGTCGTGAAAAAATAATACATATTCTGTAATTTATCATATTTCTGATGAAATTGTTTTCTTTATATCTTTGAACAATATTATAACATTCAGTATATTCATCTAAATCATGATTTGTATCTTTAATTTTTTGAAATCTTAAGGATTAACTGCTATACTTACAATAATGTTTTCTTTTTCAAATATTTTTGAAAAAAACATTTCAAGATCTGATGCTACATTAGGACCATTGACTAACAAATTCTTATGAAACTTGAACATTTTTTGTAATCTTGTTGCACATTCTTGCAAATCCTCTCCCACATTCATCATATATTTCTGTCAAATGAATGATTATCAAAATTAAATTTGGTAACATAAGATAAGATATGATGAAAAATATTTTAAAATTACTATTTAAAACAATCTTGTACAGTTTTATTTTTCAAACGTCTTTGAGTCTTTATTCAAATTCACAGTACCAGTGAGTCATTTGTATAGACTAAAGCTGAAATTGTGGAAATTTTCATCAAGCATACATGTACTATGAATGCTTTTAAATGGCTGCGATATATTTTGGCAAATGCTGATTGTTTGCCTTTTTAATTCAACATCACGGCAGGACATCTCAAACCAAATCAATATTAAAAATGTGTTGAAAATGAAGTAAATTATTTTTTTACAGATAAAACGACATCATTGATGTACATTGTCATCAAAATTGCTTTACTGACAGTGTTGTTTTGCATTTCAATTTGACGGGACTTCTTAAATGTTGATAAACCTTTTTTGAAGATTGATTTCAACCTTGAAATTCAAACAGATCTGGATCGTCAATTTTCTTTATAAAAACCTTGTATTACATGTAAAACAGGCTTATGTAAAAATGTGGTGGTGGTATGCCATAAATACTATACAGACGTTCTTAAGAATGAAATTTTAAATTCATCTACATTCAAGTCCTTGCGCTCCACAGAGAGTCATATAGTAAACAAACATATCATAACCACATTACAGCTTAAGGTCTCTTCTGAACATTTGAAGGTCCCTACTATGTATTGGTTACCTAAACTACACAAAAAAAACCCCAGCAAAATATCGTTTCATGTCGGCCTCTAGTAAGTGTTCTACAACTAATCTTTCAGTGCTGTTAACTAGTTCCTTAACTACTATCAAAGAACTTATCATAAACTTTTGTAATGAAATATATGAAAATAGTGATATCTACTATTTTTGGAGTGTAAAAAATTCTTTGGATGTTTTAGATAAATTGCGTGCTTTTTGATGGTCCTTTTGATTCTGTTGAATGTTTTGACTTTTCAATTCTTTACACTACACTTCCACACATTTTATCAAACGAAAGTTTTCCTATTTATTTAAATGGTCGTTTGGTACATCTGATTGCAAATATATTTGCTGCAACTCATTTAAAGCCTTCTTCTCTAATGAGAAAGGTAAATATGCTAGATATACTTACTGGAGGTGTGATGAGATGATTGAAGCTGTTAATTTTCTCCTTGATAACATTTATGTACGTTTCGGCAACAAAGTTTATCGACAGGTTGTATGTAATCCTATGGGCACTAATTGCGCCCCGTTGATAGCAGACTTGTTTTTGTACTGTTATGAATCACAGTTTATTGCCAAACTCAGTAAAGACCCGTCTAAATTGCTTTTAATTGATAAATTCAACAACACCGTTATCTTGATGATATTTTGTCGTTAAATAATCATGAATTTTCTAAATATACTGCCGTTATTAACCCAAAGGAAGAGACTTTAAATAAATCAAATGTAAACGGTAAAAACTGTCCTTTCCTAGATTTAGATATTTCAGGTATACACGGGAAACACCAGACTTACATTTACGACAAAAGGGACGATTTTTCGTTCCCTATTGTTAATTTTCTTTTTTGGATGGTGATGTTCCTTTAGCACCATCTTACGGTGTTTATATTTCCCAACTCGTTCGCAATGCCCGTGTCTGTTGTGACGTTTTAGATTTTAATGAACGTAATCTATATGCATGACTGATAAATTATTAAGTCGGGGATTTTGTTACCACAAATAACTTAAAACCTTTACTAAATTCTTTCATAGATATAAAGATTTGGTTTTGAGGTTTGGTTGTACTTGTAGAAAACTTATTTCAAACGGGATAGCACATCCTCATTTTTACGGAGATGTTGTCAACCGTGCCCAGAAATTTAGAAACGATCCTGGTAAATTTATCGATCCTTTGAATAAACTTATTCTAAGCGGTTACCAATTCAACACTGTTATTAGATCTTTGAATGTTTTTATTGGATTTAATATTGATTTTGTTATCAGCAAATTAAAAGCAAACTGAATATTATTGTATATATGCACTTTAATTGATCTACAATCTGTCGATACCTGTATCTTGGCATTGCACAAGGTCATGTTTTTCTCTGACTGTTTATGACGTCTTTACACTAAATCCATTGGATGTTGGATGTGTACTGATTGATAATTTAGTCTTATATGCATGATTTTTTTTAATAGTTGGTATTGGCTTTGAACTAGCTGTCAGTAACTGCGAGTACTCTCAGATCTGTACTATGTGTCTTTTTGTTGTTGGGATGTTCAAGTATCCAACCACGTCCACTCTGTGTTTTTGTTAGATGTATTTATATTTGTATCCATCTGATGAGTTAAGCCTTTTTCAACTGATTTTTATAGTTCGTTCTTATGTTGTACTGTTAAACCACTGTCCAAGGTTAGGGGGAGGGTTGGGATCCAGCTAACATTTTCAACCCAGCCACATTCTGTATGTATGTGCCTGTCCCAAGTCAGGAGCCTGTAATTCAGTGGTTGTCGTTTGTTGCTGTGTTACATATTTGTTTTTCGTTCATTTTTTGTACATTAATTAGGCCGTTAGTTTTCTCGTTTGAATGGTTTTACATTTGTCATTTTGTGACCTTTTATAGCTGACTATGCGGTATGGGCTTTGCTCATTGTTGATTTTGCAATTTGATTAGGAACTTTCCGTTTTGAATTTTCCTCGGAGTTCGTTATTTTTGTGATTTTACTTTTGGTGAAGAGTTGTCTCATTGGCAATCATACTACATCTTCCTTTATATATTTGCTGATGTATGTTAATTTTGTGAATTGAGCTTTTGTATGCGTTATTGCTATGAGGTTTGAATGCAGTTTCCTTTTTTTAATCTTTTGAACGGGATCATAAAAAGGATTTTGAATAAGGTATAGTTGTGGCCATGATCCAAATGCTTTATGCCATTACATTCCGTGCTTACAAGAGTGAAATAAATGTTTCATGCGCCAATACTACAGTTGCATCCACTCCGAAAGTTTAGAGTCAGTTTTTACTCTTCACAGTTTTGATGAAAAACATGGTTTTGTTTTGGTTAAATGTGTGTCCCTTTATATTAGCATTATTTATAATAGAAACGGATGCAATGTTGGTATACTATGTGAGCATTGAAAAGATTGTTACGTAATATGTCTTCAAATCATTCAGGTCCAGTTATATGACATTCAAATATATTTTATAAAAAAATTGAAAAAAACTTAAGAACATTCGCTCATTTTCGAAAGGTTTTCTGAGTTTTTGAAATTTTTGTCGTAACAACACATTTATAAGAAATTTGTAACAAATAAAACGTTCGTTTTAGGGGAAAACAAAGCAAAGCAAAGCAGACTTTTGTTCTTATTATCTTTGAATACGTTTAAGCTATTTTTTTTTTGTATATAAGAATGTCATCTTCCTATCATTATCTTTGCTTGCCGATTTATTACTTAGTTTTGCATTTCGTATTGTTATGTACTATTTCATATTCATGCTATTATTTTACTGTATTGATTTCAGTTATATAAATGCACATAAAATAATTAGTACTGGTATGATTGGTATTACATATAAATATATATAGCAAATATATATACTTGAATCTTTAGCGGCTTTCTCTTTTAAATACAAATAGTCTTTAACATGTGCATGTGCATGTAAAAGCAATCGAGTCTCATCAATACGTGAATGGTCAGTGAACATTGACGTCAACACATATTTTCTAACAGGATTATGGACGTCTTGTGATGAATGAACAGATTAAACAGGTTCTTTTAGAGTACGTACAGTGACAGTTCCCAGGCTTTCACTGTAATCTTCTTCGGTTAATGCAAGCTCCTTCATAATGCATGCTATCTGTTCCTGTTTACATGTATTAAAGAAATACAGAAATTTAAAAGAATGTAAAATCATAAGAAATAAACTCTTGGTGTCATTCTGAATGGACATACATTTTTTTTTTCATTTTGTTTCGACTGAAAAACAAACAAATGTCTTGTCGAAAATGAAAAAAAAGTTACATTATAACTGATGAAGATATTTTGCGTGATAAAACATAAGTTGAATTGCCTCCGCTAATATATATCATAAAACAAAATGTAGGACACAAATAAGAGGTTACTATACGAATAATTTGTAGGAATGTGTTGCCGTACATATCTATTACTTTATATATTTTAGAGAGGCGAAGGCTACAAAAGGGACATTCAAACTAATAAGTCGAAAATAGACTGACAAGGTTAAAAAAAACACAAACAAACAAACAAGTCACCAAACACAACATAGACTGAGCAACACGAAACCCACCAAAAACTGGGGATGATCCCAGGTGCTGTGGAAGGGTAAGCAGATCTTGCTCTACATGTGGCACCCGTCGTGCTACTCATGTTAGTACAAACCCGGTGATAAGTCTAATTCGGTAGGTCGCATTCGGGGAAAAGGGGACGGGATTGTAGTTACGACAATTTGAACATATCTGTTGTCATCTGTGAAACGGATATCCCTTAACGGTCAACCAACTCGTGATGGCGTCCGTAAAGCATTACACCTTGTAATTTATAACGATAAACAAGAAAAACGAAAAATAGGTGGCACTGTATAACAAAGACCTTAACTTGACTTTAACTTTTTTAAAACAAGACATATGTGTTACTTTACTGTTTTTCGAACGTTCCCTTTATATCTGTTTAACCTAGAATTTTGAAAAAAAAAGCAAATGAACAAAAATATCTAATTTGAATTTATAATGTTGAATCTTGTGATGTGTTATAAACGATTATATTAAATTGGCTTTGATCATCACTGAAAAGCCATTTACTATCGGAAGGCAATGGTGCAGAAAAATTGGTATCGTTAATGTTATGCAATTCAATATTGTTTAATTAGAAAGAAATGAATGTTAGACAATTTTGCTTGTATACTCATTACAAGTACATAGATAAGATCCAAGGGAATAACACATTTTTAATGCTCATAAGTAATAAAACACAGACGCGCACTACATGCACAATTTGAAAATTAGGGATTCATCAATGATTTTCGAAGCTAAATATTTTGGTAGGTATTTGTCTATATAAAACGAAATTTGTTAGCTCGGTATTTGATTTATATACGTACCTTCTGTGAAGAAAATGAGCTCACATACGAAGACACAATCACATCCAGCAGTTTTTTTCTCTCATCAGAAAAAAAATCCGGAAATCTATGATGTTCCTGAAAAATAAAGTACACATTAATTCAGGAACGTTCAAACTATACTTGTTTCGTGTAATATTGTTTTACCAATATTTAATCATGTTAATTGCAATAATTACAGACCTTTTTGTGACGTCTAATACAAGTTACAATTTATATGGCTCTACATGTATGTATTTCAGCACTCATTCAAGTTTTGAATTTGCATTTATGCAAAATCAAGTTTAGAAAAGTTAACACTAAGTAAAAGTCTTAAATGATTTTCTGCATTAATTAAAACCCCTGCTGAATTTTGACAAAAAATGGCAAACTGGATTATATTCAACTTCCCTAGATACCCAAGTGTCATTGACTTCATTTGTGTGTCCAATCGTCATGAATGTCAGATACGAATAGGTGCCAGCGGTAATATATTGGGTTCGGTGGATGGGAAGTTACATCGTTAATTAAAAAATGCTTGCACCGTTCTTATAGACCTTGTTTGTTATTTCTCGTTTTGTTTTAAAACTACAACTTTTTTCTGCAGTAACAGTTGCCCAAATCTCAATAAAAAGAATATTGTCTTGCATACACAGTCTACTAACAAGTTCGATCTTTTCCAACAAATAAACTTATATTAATTCCCTGCTCAACGGAAAGAAACACAAAACTGACGAATTCATATAGAAATTCATTCAAGATAGTTATTGTGCAGACTTGGTAAATTTTGAAATAATCCTGCCATCACTACATGTACTAATTAGATGATCGTGTACAGAAGATCAATTTACAAAATATTAATCTTTCAACAAAGACAAAAAATAAAAAAAAAAAACCACAACAAAAACACTACGAGTTGTGACATTTATATCATGTATATAATTATGTATATTGTTTTTATTTTTTTATCCCCCCCCCCCCCCCAAAAAAAAAAAGCACAAACAAACTAATAGACGACCCTATAAAAACATACTTATAATAAATACCGTAGTTACAATTAGAGTTATCGTGTAAGCAACATAATGTGATGGATAGATTAACCTATTTTCGAAGTCTGTAGATTTATTTCTTGTGCAATAGAGTAACTTTTCATGCAAAGAGAATAAATTGTAGTTTTGAATCATCTGGTTTTGGTGTCAAGAGATGATAATCTGTTCCTGAATATAAAATGCAACATAAACAGTCATTGTACGGACAGGTAAAATCAAAGATGCATGCTTTATGGAACCCAAACCGAGCTACCAATCTGTGTAAATTTCCCAAGTATAAACATTGATCAAAATATGATGGCGAAATGTTAATGCAGCTTTCAATACAAGCTACAACATAAAATTGACAGTGAGGATCGGTTGAAAAACTTTACGACAAAAGAAATGATGTTAGCTTCCGAATTGTGAACTTTTGATTTCTATGTAGCAACATTCCAGCAGCGCCTGCATACGGAGTATATATCTCCAAATTAATACGCAATTCCAGAGCTTGTATTTCCTATCATGATTTACTTGAAAGAGGGTTGATGCTGACAAGGAAGCTATTGAACCAAGAGTTCCAAGTGGTGAAGTTAAAATCTTCCTTTCGTAAGTTTTACAGACGCCATCACGAGTTGATTGACCGTTATGGAATATCCGTTTCACAGATGATAGCGGATATGTTCCTAATGTCGTAACTACAATCCCGTCCCCTTTTCCCGAATGTGACCTACCGAATTAGACTTATTACCGGGTTTGTACTAACATGAGCAACACTACAGGTGACACATGTGGAGCTGGAACTGCTTACCTTCCGGAGCACCTGAGATCACCCCCAGTTTTTGGTGGGGTTCGTGTTGTTCAGTTTTTAGTTTTCTATGTTGTGTTTTGTATACTCTTTTTTGTCTGTTGGTCTTTTTTTTTGTTTTTGCCATGGCGTTTTCAATGCCCCGCAGGTATCTTACGCCTCCTTTCTATACACGCTACATGTAATTACAAGCTTAAATATACTCAACTTTCCAAAATAAGTTACATAGACTTAATAGGACTGAAACTAATTTTGAAATGTCAGGTTGTGTTAAGTCAGAAATTTAGTGCAAAATAGAAAAAGTAAATACAAAATCATCTTACCAAATTCATTTCACCGCCTGGATACCTAACATTCACTAAATTCTAAAAAAAAAAATGAACAAAATATTAATCTGTAGTATTGTAAACAGCTCACAGTAGCACTAGTCTTAGAAATCAATTATTATCCGATAATGATTGCTGTAAAGCTTTCTTTTTGAATTTCAACACACATGACACACGCAACCATTTTTTATTTATTCAATTCTTAGTTAGCCTCGTTTTTATTAGGCAGTATTGCGTACCACTGCATCGAGTGTGATATTATATTTCTGATCACAAGACAGTTTAAATTTATAAAATATAACTGTACAGAGTGGAAAAATGTGTACGTGATGGAATTAAACTTTTAAGGGTTATTTTTTAAGATATGATGGCAAAATATATCATTCTTTTTTTATTGAACTGTGATGATATCGCGATCTTTCTTAGTAACGCAATCATGTATGATCACGTTTTTGTAAAGACACTATATCAAAATCAGATGATAAGTAAATTTGACGTCATTATATATATATGTACTATTTTATCAATGATAAACTGATGTCACTTGAACCACGCGTAACTTATGAAAAAAGTTATCAATCTGTTGAGGAAAGTTTATAACGTCTAAACTTTAAGGGGTAGGAGATTTTCGAGTTATTATTGAGATGTAAATAGAGAACATATGCAAAAGAATTTCCTACTGAGGCAAAACACAGTGCATTTGATATCGTTGTGTACTAACAGTAGAAATTCATAAAAGTCTGAATTTACAATTTTTTGTCTAAATTAAACTGAAATATTAATCGACATCCTTAAAGTGTCTGAGTTTACCTAAATATTTCTCGACAATGTCTGAAATGTTCTTGAAAGAGCATGATTTATTTTCAACTTTATTCTCGATTGTCTTAAATAATTCTACTGTATCGAAAATCTGAATAGTGTCTCATTTTTCATTTCAACATATTCTCGACACTCTCAGTTTGCATCAAAAGATAAATTTTGTAACCACATGGTCTAATGATTCTAAGACAAGCGTTTGAACTTTCAGGAGAATTGAATAAATATTTTAAGCTTAATTTTACATTTTTTTTAGCATGCGTGTTCTCATATCTTCATATCCTGAACAAGAATAAGTAATGCAATTCTTTTTTTTTTTTTTTTTTTTATACCAGGAAAGGGAGGAGTGGTTTTGGATTGCTACTTGAAAAACACGTATCGAAGTTTAAAATGGGGCATAAAATTAGCCTTGCAAATGGCAACCTTTAGAACCTCAAACAGTAGTTGCAAGGATGCTTTACCTGTAGAGAGTGTTGCACTCTCACTGCATAAAGCATCAGATTAAACATCCTCATTCTGACCGCACGTTCATGATATATGAATTTAAAAACCAAATACAATTAACATTGACATTTACTTATAAACATGTGTTAATTTAAAATGAAAGCAAATGAACCGAGGGTCAACGGACTCTGTTGGCGAATGGTTATAGGTGAAAATGTTGTTAAGCGAACAATACCCATTCCATGGTTATAGTTTGTTTATGATATTTCAACTTTATGCAAAAATGTGGAACTAAAACTCCATGGAAAAATGAGGGGATTACTTTCAAAGAAAAGAAATATTTTACCAAATTTGTTTTGATTTTTGATGAAATGGGGGAAAGGGATAATTTTTACGAATTGATCAATTGATGGCAGAACTGTGAATCTGTGTGGCTAGCCTATATTTTGAATAGGGAGGATATACTCAATGGATTGTATAATCACCAATCGAATTTAGAAAATGAAGTAACAAACAAAAACCTGAAAACCAGATGTGATTACATGGTACATGATTTACTTTGTGTCTGTTCAAAGTCAGGAGTCTGTACTGCAGTTATTACTATCGAATCTACCAAGACGACGATTACATAATAATGTTTTGCCTGCATTCAAGATAATTTTTGAAACTAGATTCTATGATCTCAAATCGATCGATATCAAACTTTCAGTCTATAATTAGAAATATATATGTATATAACTACAGCATTTCAGCTTGTAGTGTATGCCCTTATATTTTACAGTTGTAGGTTTTTTGCTTGTGCATGTTGTGAGAGAGCTGTCTACTACTAGTCTTTTATAATTACATTTGTTTCTATTGCTTTAAATTCATGTTTAGGTTAGCTTATTTGCCCCCTTCTATGGTTTTACTAAGAATTCTTATTTTCTGTTTTGCCCTGTGTTTGTTATATGTTTGTTGTGTTTTACTTCACTCGTGTCTTTACGTCGGGCAGTTGGTCCGATGACACAGTTATCGTCCATTTGATTTTTACAAATATAGTCCTTATCACATGTAGATAGCATATTACTTCCAAAAGTTTGTTTACATACTTTCTTTTTGTCTATTGATTTCTGTATATTTAATGCAGGATATATATGCTTTTAAATAACTTTAGGTGATGGATTTTTAGGTATAGTAGTGATTTTATTTAGTTTTATAAGGTCAATATTTAATATGTCTGAAGCTTCCTGAGATAGAGCAGGAGCGATTTTTTAAATTTTAATTCATTGTTTAAAAGAAATTCACAACGAAAATAACTGTGTTCCCGGACTAATTAACTACAGTTTTTATCAAAATTCTTCGACTGCACTACCTATTCCCGTAATTATGACCCAATTCAAAGCTTTGCCTTTCGGCCTATTTTTCTTATCTACGTTTAAACTTTATAATATCATGATTTCAAAAAACGATAAAATAACAAAAAAACCTCTCCACACTTCGAATATCCACGTGCTTAAGAAACCGCGTTTATAATATAAATTCAACTGCCTCTAATCGAAATTAAAATTTAGCTCATTTCACAATTGTGTTTAAGGAGGCAATGCCTCTGCAACTAGATTTTTCAACGAAAACGCATGGGATATCTACAGATATTCCCGTGCAATGCGAAAAAATAACAAACCTGCTCCAGATTATCTTCTAATGATACTGTTCGTTCATTAGTGAACGGTGGGACTTTTTATCTTTCCTTTTCATTACTTGAAAAACCTAAAGCCTCATATATCTTGTAACATGAACAAAACCGAAATGTAATATTCAATATTTAGGGCAAACTGGACGTGAATTTTTCAAACGAACACAAGAACATCTATACCTCTTCCGCAGACATAACATCATAAGAAATGAAAAAGTTTAATATACCAACATTTAGAAAAACACAAACAGAATATTAAATTTATAAAATTCAAACCACTTCAAACCGTCCTGAAACAGCCAGGACAATCACATAAACAGTTTGAAGATTCCCGTAAATGGGAACTGTCTTGAATTAAACGACTACAGACAGCGTATCCCCTAGGTCTACATGACAATATCATAGGCCAAGGGAACATATCTAAAACTTCCTATATTAATATCATGACTATTGTTGATTAAAGACAAAACAAACATAGGTCTCACGGCAAACGAATTAACCGCAATCAACGAAAAAAACATCGTTCTTATTTTACACTCGATGATTTTTTTTATCTATATTTGAAAACAATGGTAGACATCCCTTATTATGTAAACTTGGTCAAATATCAATTAGTAAATTACATAATATTTATAACGAATGCGATACAGTATCGTTTTTCAGTCCAAAATATGAGTGTACACGAACTATTACAGCCTATTGTCACCATAGACTGTTCCCTCAAATTGACAAACCTGAAGATCATAAAAAGTATTTCAAAAAAATAAAATACATTAATAAAGGTATTGAATTGATTAATTTGTCTAGTATTTAGAAATAAATAAAAGAATAAGTAATACGACCTTTTCTAGTATTAAGAACAAAATTCAAGTACTCGCAAAGCGTGTTGTGTTCGTGCTGGCCGACAAAGCAGCCAACAATGTGGTGGTGGTAAGACGTTAATACTACACCGAAGTCCTTAAGAATGAAATGATACATTCAACTACATTCAAGGCCGTACGCTCTACAGAGAGTCATAAAGCAAATAAACATGTCACAACCACAGCTCAGCTTCAGGCCTCTTCTGAACATCTGAAGGTCCCCACTATGTATTGGTTACCTAAACTACACAAAAAAAACGTAAATTATCGTGTCATCTCGTCCTCTAGTGAGTGTTCTACTACTAGAATTTCAGTGCTTTTAACGAGTTCCTGAACTACCATCAAAGAACTGATCATTAATTTGTGTAATAAAACACATGAACATAGTGGAATTAACCATTTTTGGAGTTTTAAAAATTCTTTGGATGATTTAGATTAATAATGTACTTTTGATGGTCCTTTTTTTTTTCTTTTTTTACTTGTTTTTTTCACAATCTTATCAAACAAAAGTTTTCCTATTTAATTAAATTGTCGTTCGATAAATCTTATTGCAAATTTATTTGCTGCAACTCATATAAAGCCTTTTTCTCAAACGAGAAAGGTAAATATGCTAGATATACTTTCTGGAGGTGTGATCAGATTTTATAGCCATAAATTTTCTCCTTGTCAACATTTATGTACGTTTCGCCAATAAAGTTTATCTACAAATTGTAGGTATTCCCATGGGCACCAATTGTGCCCCTTTAATAGCAGACTTGTTTTTGTACTGTTATGAATCACAGTTTATGGCCAAACTCAGTAAAGATCCGTGTAAATTCAATTTAATTGATAATTTTTTTTTGGACCGTGATGTTCCTCTGGCACCATCTTACGGGGTTTTTGTATCCCAACTCGTTCGTTATGACCCTGTCTGTAGTGACGTTTTGGATTTCAATGAGCGTAATCTATGCTTTACTGGTAAATTATTAAGTTACCACAAATTATTCAAACCTTTACTAAATTCTTCCATAGATACAGAGATTTGGTTTATAATTTGGATGTACCTGTAAAAACTTATTTCAGACGGAATAGCACATCCTAAATTTTACGACGATGTTGTTTATTGAGCCCGGAAATGTATAAACAATCCGGGTAAACTTACCAATCCTTAAAAAAAACTTATTTTAAATGGTTACCAATTCAACACTGTAATTAGAACTTTGAATATTGTTTTTATTGGTATAAATATTGATTTTGTTATCAGTAAATTAAAATCATACTAATAGTTTTGTTATACAAATATGCACTTTAACGGTACAACAATCTGTCGATCCTTTATTTTGGCATTGCACAAGGTCATGTTTTTCTCTGACTGTTAATGACGTCTTTACACTAAATCCATTGAATGTTGAATGTGTACTGATTGATATTTTAGTCTTAAATACATGATTTGTTTTATTAGTTTTTATTGGCTTGAAATGGCTGTCATTAACTACGAGTACTCTCAGATATGTTCTTATTGACCCTTTTTGTTGTTAGGAATGAGGGTTTGATAAATACCCTGACACGTCCTGTCTGTGTTTATGTTTGATGTTTTTCTACTTTGTATCTATCTGATGAGTTGATATAAAAATAATATGTGGTATGATTGCCAATGAGACAACTCTCCATAAGAGACCAACCGACACAGAAATTAACAACTAGAGATCACCTTACGGCCTTCAACAATGAGTAAAACCCATACCGCATAGTCAGCTATAAATGGTCCCGAAATGACAAATGTAAAACAATTGAAACAAGAAAACTAGCGAGCGGCCTGATTTATGTACAAAATAATGAACGAAAAACAAATATGATATAGAACAACAAACGACTAACCACTGAATTACAGGCTCCTGACTTGGGACAGGCACATACAGAATATGGCGGGGTTAAACATGTTAGCGGCCTTTTTCGACTGATTTTTATAGTTTGTTCTTATGTTGTGCTGTTACACCACTGTCCCAGGTTAGGGGAGGGTTGAGTGCTCACAAAATTGTTAAACCCCGCTACATTCTTTATGTGCCTGTCCCAAGTCAGGAGCCTGTATTTCAGTGGTTGTCGTTGGTTCCTGTCTGTCATATTTGTTTTTCGTTAATTGTTTTGTTATTTTGTTATAAATTAGGCCGTTAGTTTTCTCAATTGAATTGTTTCATATTTTTCATGTTGGGACCATTATAGCCGACTATGCGGTATGGGTTTTTCTCATTGTCGAAGGCCGTACGGTTGCCTATAATTGCTTACATCCACTTTATTTGAACTTTGGTGGATAGTTGTCTCATTCGCAATCATATCTCATCTCCTTATTTTCATATGTATATAACTCCAGCATTTTAAGGAAAATATTTGCTCACCAAGACGTTAGTGTTCAAATTAAAAAACGATGATCCATTTTTTGTATTATGTATTCAATTATTAGAATTATAGTCATTTCATACTCTAATCATTATGCACCCTCCATTTCGTACCCTGTCAATTTCGTACCTAATGAAATATTTGATTAAAACTATTAAAGTTTCCACGTGCTGCTTAATTAAACCAATCGCATGTCTCGAGAAAATGTCAACTATTTACATATATGATACGAAACAGTCAACATGTATGTTGTCTTTATATGGCACGAAATTAGCTACCAATTATTCCAAACATGCATTGTTATTATTTATAGTCTATCGGCCTGAATGAAAAAACATAACACATAATAGTCTATGGTTTAATGTTCTGACAAACTGCGGACAGCTGTCATGAATTCTTGTGCTCAATGTTGAATGCTGAATAGAAATGAAAATATGTAACTTGAAGTACTGGTAATAATTTTGATGTTTCAATAGTGATAACCCATATCTAGTACAAATTACTATCAGTTGAAGCAAACATTTATAAGTTGAGAAATGAAAAAAAAAGGTTAAGAGGAAATAAAGCGGATAATGCTTCAAAAATCTGCAAGTTTTTTTTAGTGATTTAGAATTGATAAGATAAGACTTAAATATTTTGTGCACCTTGATTATTGAAATGAGATTTCAAAATTCGTCAAATTTCTTGTATGTTTTACAAAAAAAAACCCTAAAGATTTGATTTTTATATCTATTATTTCAAACAAAGTATTCTTGAATATCGATGAAAGTTTTGCAACTATCCCTTGATAATTAAATTGAGATTTTAAAAATAAGTTAAATTTCTTGTTGCATATTTTACAAAAACAAGCAACACAAATTGATATATATATATATATTCTTCAATATCGTTGAACTTTTCATGTGAATTACTTTTGTTCATATTTTTTTATTTTTTTATTTTCTAATTTATAACCGTTTATTAGATATATGATCCATTGTTTTAGTGTATGCTAAAGTTTATTTAATAATACAAAACCGCATTTGCATCTCTACATAATATAATGTTCACATAACAAGTCAACGCTGGTATTAAAACAGTCTACGAGAACTGTGTAATCAAAATATTGTACTAAACACCCTCAAGTGCGCCTCGAACTGTGTAATCGTCCATCGAAAGTGATTATAATTATTTATGTGATAATTAAGGAAATATTATAAGTATATTGCCTATATTGTTGAAGCCTTATTATATTCAAAAACAGTTGTTTAAATAAAGAAATAATAATTAAGATCGAGAAATAACAAAACTTCATTTGTAACATACATTCATAATTATTTTTTTCTATGTAATCAATTTATCATAAATACATTTCATGTCTTACTGGATAAGTCCGGCTAAATGTCCTGACTTCCTCATTTACTTCAACTGTTTTAAAGCATGATAAGAACTGCTCAAATTCACTTTATCTAAAACTGTATATTTTGACATTTCTACCAAAGAACAGATTTATCATGCTCATAGTTTCAAATAACAATTTACAATACAATAGCAAACTAGCTTCATCGAGCGTGCATCTATCCAGGTGACATCGGATGCAGATAAAAAACTTTTGCATCTCATTGTACATGAATTTTGCTGCCCTGTGAATAATTCAAAGTTTGGGTGAAGTTCAAGATTATTTATTTAATTACGAAATAATTTGTGGTTGAAGTTTGCAACGTCCATTGGCCAACATTACAGACATATAAAGGACGATGCTGTATACTTAATTATTCTTTATTTTTCAGTATCTTTTCTCGTCTTTTTCATTAAGCCCATCAGGTTCTAAAGTATGGAGCTGCGGGATCCAAAAGTTTTCTCTTCTCCTTCTCGCCGTGGTGTCCCACTCAGTGTTCACTTCTATGATTTGGAAAGTAACATTATCAAAAGGATGTTTCTTTGAGCGAAGATGTCTTGTGAAGGGAAAGTTTTTGTTGGTTTTGTACCATGATCGATGGTTTGTTTTAGCCGAATATTAAATTTATCCAGTGTTTCTCCCACGTACTGAATAACACAGGTGTTACATATTAATACATAAATTGAGTTCTCCGTTTTACAGTTGGAATTTGTGTAGATGGTATAACTTTGTTTTGCAAAGGAGCTGATGGAAGAACTGATAGTATTGGCAGCTTTACAACAGAAGCAATTCCTTCTCCAACATTGTTTGTAGCAACTGGGAGGTGGAGTAGGTTGCTTTGTTAATACAGCTGTCACTAATTGGTCACGGATGTTTTTAGGTCTTCTGAAGGTCATGACTGGTGGTGAGGAAAATACTTTTTTTTCTAATAAGAGTAATTCTCTATAACTATTCAATGCTTTCGAACAATGGATGACACATTTTTAAAATCAGGATGGTAAGTGAGTAAAAGAGGTGTTCTGTTGACTCCTTTATTCTTATCATTATCCCTGTGACTGCATCTTACGATCCTTTACGACAGATAATTTAGCTTATCTGCAATCAATTCCATCTTCATGCCTAATATATCATATACTGTGTTACAACTCTAAATTCTACTGACGAGGAAAGGTAACACTAGGCCACCGAAAGCTGAATTTTTAGTTCATATAAATAAAAAAGAGGTAGTATGATTGCCAATGAGACAACTCTCCACAATAGACCGACCGACACAGAAATTAACAACTATATGTCACCGTACGGCCTTCAACAATAAGCAAAGCCCATACCGCATAGTCAGCTATGAAAGGCCCCGAAATGACAAATGTAAAACAATTCAAACGAGAAAACTAACAGCCTAATTTATGTACAAAATAGAAAAAAAACAAATATGAAACACAGCAACAAACGACAACCACTGAATTACAGGTTCCTGACTTGGGACAGACACATAAAGAATGTGGCGGGGTTAAACTAGTTTGAAGGCGCCAACCCTCCCCCTAACCTGGGACAGATGTGTAACAGTAGAACATAAGAACAAACTATAAAAATCAGTTGAAAAAGGCTTAACTCATCAGATGGATACAAATAGAAATACATCAAACAAAAACACAAAGTGGACGTGGACGAGTACTTGTACATCCCAACAACAAAAATTTACTCTAGACCACTCAGTCTAGGTGGACGAGTGGTCTGGAGCGCTCGACACAGTGCAGGCGGTGTTGTCATGATATACCAATAGCATGAGTTCGAATCACGGCGAGGGGAAAATAAAAATTTGCTTCTGCAAAATTGGAGATTTAGAGTAATTATATATATATATATATATAATTATATGTTATCTGTTGATGACATATATATAGCGTAAATCAGAACAGCTTTGGATGAAAGAGATGCATTCCTTTATTTTAAATGATTTTTGAAAAAATAAACAGTACATTTGTTACCAGTAGAAGTAATATCATTTGTAGTAATGAATGGAAGTTGACTATAGAAACTAACATTGTGGCGGCGTTTATCATAGCTCATAGTTTCAAATAACAATTTACAATACAATAGCAAAGTTAAAGATGATTGTACAACATTTCAGCGTATTAATTGTATATATAAAGAAATAGATACCTTATTCTTGTTGGAAGAGGACGTTTTAGCATTCTGTTTATTTTCAACCTTTTTCCCCTTTACATTAGCTGCTGTTTCAAGATCTGGATACTCTTCGTCAAAGCTGTGATGAATCAGATATGGGACATGTAATTTGTAAAAATATCAAGCAACAATCAGGCACAGTCCTATGTAACACTGTATTATGTATTATATTGTAAACAAATAATCTGTAAAAACAAGATCGAACTCTGTATTTTTAAAATAGCTATTATTATTCATAACGGCTATTCAATTTTACTGAATAGAAGTTAATCTCTTTCCGTAACAAAATAAATAGATAAAATATGCATATGCTATAGACGAATTTCTGATTGGTATATTATTTGGTCTTGGCGGTCGAGTGGTCCAAATAGTCGAACTACTGTATTACTAGCCTGTCAACACTAAGGTTGTGAGTTTGAATCCGGTACGTAGCAGGTGCGTTTGATCCCAATCTTAATTGATTAGGATTGTCAGTTATCTTACCGAAAGTCGGTTGTTCTCTCCGACCACTCCGGCGTCCTCCGCCAATAAAAACTAACCAACGCGAAATAGCACAATAGTGCTAAAAGTGACGTAAAACACAAATCAATCAATCAATCAAATAAACAACCGAACAATATATAAGTTTATAGTGGAATGTGAGACTTGGTCATGTGAAACAACTTATGTTGGAATATGATCAATTTCAACGGATGATACTTAAAATGGATATATGAGCAAACTGATTATGATTTTGTGAATTTTTTGGAAAATATAAACCAGTTCTGACTTTCATTTCCTAAATTATTTTATCAGTATAAATTCTCATTTAATACATTGCGTTTGTTTATGTTCCGGACCATATATTAAGTATTTGGACCGTACGCGTATGGTCGCGTATGGTTGGACCATATGAGTATATACTCGTTTGTTTATTAACGGGCCGGACCATATGAGTGTTTATACCATATAGGTATTTTTCGTATAAATTCAAATTTCCTTAACAAACACAGCTTGTTCTCTGAACCAAAATCAGCACAAGTTATTAACTGAAATACTTTATCTGTGTTACATATTGTCTGAATCTTGGTATATTTGTTGTTTTGCCTTCGCTATCTAGAGTCAATTTTAAGCACCTTTATCCTGTCGACAGTTTCGTCCGTACGCGTTTGGGGGCATGGACAATTTTTTTCTTTTTTCCGGGCGTTTAGATTAGATTTTCTTTAATTTCTTCTAATTTTCACTTATGTTCACGTAACTGGTGTGTTCATACGATCTTACAATAACAGTGATAAGAATAGAGAGGCAGCACGTATAAACTACTGTAATTGTAAATCGTATAAAGAGGTGCATGAACAAATAAATAACTAAAAATGATTTGAAATGTTTTAGAAATTTGGATTAAAAATAAACAAATTGAAAGACCAAAAAAAAAGAAAAAAGGAGGGTTCAATGCTTTAATTGCTAATGAGAAAAACATTTGACTTCTTGCTTAACAGTTTATTTTAAATTAGTTATTTTCGGAGTCATAAAAACAAATTAATATAAATGACCATGCAAAAATGCTTCTACTATAATTTTAACTTGTGAGTAAAATTCATTTCATTTCATTAATCACGTAACAATGATTACCAAATTATTATCTAAGTCAAAATTTCATTTTTAGAAACTCTTAATGTATAACATCTTGAAGAGTTATGCCTTACGCAATTACTGTTCAACGTTCATCGTATTCCGGACCATACGCGTATGGTCGGACCATATGAGTATATATGCATATGGTAGCAATAAACAGTTAGGAAAAAATGTTAAAATTTTCCCTCATAAATTTTACCATCCCCTTTTCATTGCCTTCTTGCAATATTAAGCTTACTGTTTGTGTCATATATGTGCATATGTATGTAATCAGAATCTTCCATAGATTTCATATCCAGTATATAAAATGGTTAAATATAATTTCTTTTTGGTGTATCCATGGCAACAATCTGCATTCTTTTGTTATAAAATATAGCAAAAAGGGGGGAAAAGATGTCACATATTTTCCCAAAATTTGACCAAAAGTAGAATTTCAATCACTTCAAGTAATACCTTTTCTGAAACTGTTTACATATATCTTTCAATAAATCCAATGAAAATCATATGTCTTTCGTCTCATTTTTTTGTAAAATTGCGTCAAAAACTTCGTGTAGAAAAAAAGTGTTTGTAAACATTACATTAATTTCTGGACCGATGACCGGTCTAGCTATGAAAATACGGAGAGTCAAACAGAAAATAGCCAATAAAACATGTAAAAAATAATCTTGATGTTCTTATAAACCACCTTTGAAGGCTAAATTAGTACTCAGCTGTCTAAAAATGAATTTTATTACACAATAACTTTCACAATTGAAAAATCCACCGGGGCCAAAATGCGAAACCAAACTCCTAACTGTGTATTGCTACCTATGGTCATGACCATACGCTTATGGTCCAAATACTCATATGATCCGGAATATTTATAAAGGAGATTCAAATACTGAATTTCCTTTGGTATGGTTTTCTATATATAAATAAACTAGAGGCTCTAAACGCCTGTTGCGCTAACCTGCATCTTTAACAATGGCCACTTAATAATAATAAAAATCATCATTAAAAAGTAAAACCTCTATTAAAAGTTATGTGAAAATTTCAGTCACGTTGACATATTTGTAGATCTCATCCTGCTGATAATTTTTCCTTTTTAAAGTTTCTGTTCATCTATAAAAGTTTTTAAGATAATAGACACCAAATGCACAAAAATGTTAAAAATTGTCATTTAAGGGCAATAACTCAAAAACAGATTCCGGCCATTATGGCTTATTTCTCTTGTCTTGCTGATCATTTGTGCTTTTCAAAGTTTCTATATATCTATTACAGTTTCCAAGATGATAGGCAAAAATGGGGAAAATTGTCATTTAAGGGCAATAAATTCAATAAGGAGTCGACTTCCGATTTTGTTTATGTTGCCTTATTTTTAGATTTTTGTCTTGCTGATCATTTCTGCTTCTTATAGTTTCCATCTATCTATTATAATTTTAAACTTATTAGACAAAAACGGAAAAAAAAATCGTAAAAATCGTCATTAAAGGGCAATAAGTAGTCCACATGAGATTTGGACTATGTTGGCTTATTTGTAGACCCTGTTGTGCTGATGATTATGCCCCACTTAGGGGCATTATGTTTTTCGGTCTGGGTGTCGGTTTGTCCGTTCGTCCATCCATCCGTCCGTTCGTCCGTTCATATGTCCGTTCGTTCGTCCGTCCGTCCGTTTGTCCGTCTGTTCCGCTTCAGGTTAAAGTTTTTGGTTAAAGTTTTTGGTCAAGGTAATTTTGGATGAAGTTGAAGTCCAATCAACTTGAAACTTTGTACACATGTTCCCTATGATATGATCTTTCTAATTGTAATGCCAAATTAGAGTTTTGACCACTTATTTTACGGTCCAGTGAACATAGAAACTGATAGTGCGAGTGGGGCATCCGTGTACTATGAACACATTCTTGTTTTTGTTGTGTAAAGATTCTATCTATCTATTTTAATTTTAAAGATATTAAACGCAAAAAATTACGGCCTTCTTCATTGGAAAACCTTGAAACAACAATTACATCGCTTGGATACATTACGTTATAATTACTGAATATGAACGTCATAGTTGTAATTGTAACGTAATATATCCAAGCGATGTAATTGTTGTTTCAATGTTGTAATGTATTCCAATGAAGAATGACTTATGGAAAATTGTGTTATAGTTTTTATTATATATGTTTTGTTACATCTGATGATCCATTTATTTGGCAATCGCCAATGGTTTAAGAACATCCGTTGTTCGACCTGCTATTCAAATGCGTTTTGTTAAAATATTTATACTTTTTCACTTTTTTGATCTTTTGGAAAATGTTGTTTGTGCTGTATTTAGACCCCTCTACCAAGAAATTTGTTTTGCATGCACACGTATGACAATTGCGGTTTTTATCCAACGCAATCATAGGTTTGAACGTTGTTTTCAATTTAGACTTGTATATATATATATGTGTTTTGTTAAAATATACTTTTTCACTTTTTTGGTCTTTTGGAAAATGTTGTTTGTGCTGTATTTAGACCCCTCTAACAAGAAATTTGTTTTGCATGCACAGGTATAAAAATTGCGGTTTTTATCCAACGCAATCATAGGTTTGAACGTTGTTTTCAATTTAGACTTGTGTATTTTTTTTCGTTTGGGCTTGTATTATATTTGCCTTCGGGTTTATATGATCCGTTCATCCTATTTTGACTCCTCAAAATTCAACAGTCTATCCTAAATTGAGGTAAATTGTATGGCCTACTAAATACCGTTTCGATTCCTAACATCACTGAAGAGACATTAATTGTCGAAATCCGGATATGGTGTACAAAAACCTTTGCACCTTTTGTTTGCGGTATACCATCTTTTCCGCAAGTTTATTGTTTTCTGTTTAGTATTAAATTTATAATTAAGATCCATTTATTACATCGATTATTCGTTTATTTGGCAATTGCCAATGGCAGCCAGCAGGGTTTAAGAACATTTGTTGTTCGACCTGTCAGTCAAATGCGTTTTGTTAAAATATACTTTTTCACTTTTTTGGTCTTTTGGAAAATGTTGTTTGTGCTGTATTTAGACCCCTCTAACAAGAAATTTGTTTTGCATGCAGACGTATAAAAAATGCGATTTTTATCCAACGCAATCATAGGTTTGAACGTTGTTTTCAATTTAGACTTGTTTATATTTTTTCGTTTAGGCTTGTATTATATTTGCCTCCGGGTTTATATGATCCGTTCATCATTTTTTGACTCCTCAAAACTCAAGAGTCTATGCTAAATTGAGGTAAATTGTATGGCTTTCCAAATACCGTTTCGATTCCTAACATAACTGAAGAGACATTAATTGTCGAAATCCGGATATGGTGTACAAAAACCTTTGCACCTTTTGTTTGCGGTATACCATTTTTTCCGCAAGTTTATTGTTTTCTGTTTAGTATTAAATTTATAATTAAGATCCATTTATTACATCGGTGATCCGTTTATTTGGCAATCGCCAATGGCAGTCAGCACGGTTTGAGAACATTT